GGGTGATGAGCTTCGAATATGGTGTCATGGACACCTAGACACGTAACATACTTGAATATGATCAACCGTCACCTTTGGGACCAACTTTAAAATCGAACTTTTTCAACTTTCAACCCGAAATATCTGAATATCAACGTTTTCATACGGCATATACATTTCAAGTAAGATACTTGAATATGGTCAACCTTTGTCTGTAGACATATGTAAAAATCCGCCTGATATTGCGGTTTCCTAATCTTCTAATTCGGTTTTTTATCTGCGTCTAAATAGGACAAGTAATAAACTTTGTTCATTGATTGTTTGAGACTTGATAAATTAATATGGAACGGCTTCCGTAACCCTAAAAAAATAAAAAAATTCCGAAAAAAAAGTATACATATGGAACGGCTTCCGTAACCCTAAAAAAAAAAAAATTCCAAAAAAAAAAGTTTACATTTTTTTTCGTGAAAAAAAAATAAAAAAAGAAATAAAAAAAAGAAATAAAAAAAAATTAAAAAAAAATAAATAAAAAAAATAAAAAAAACAAACAAATAAATAAAAAAAATAAAAAAACACAAAAATAAAAATAAAAAAATGAAAAAATAAAAATGAAAAAATAAAAAAAATAACCAAATAAAAAAAATAAAAAAAAATTAAAAAAAAATAACCAAATAAAAAAAATTAAAAAAAAATAACCAAATAAAAAAAATCAAAAAAAAATAACCAAATAAAAAAAATTAAAAAAAAATAACCAAATAAAAAAAATTAAAAAAAAATAACCAAATAAAAAAAATTAAAAAAAAATAACCAAATAAAAAAAATTAAAAAAAAATAACCGAATAAAAAAAATTTAAAAAAAATAACCAAATAAAAAAAAATAAAAAAAAATTAAAAAAAAATAAAAAAATAAAAAATAAAGAAAAAAATTTAAAAAAAAAAAAATATCTTAGGACTAGATCGAATAACGGCTGGTGTTGCTGGGGGACTCCAGCGGCCGATGCCCGTTGATTCTACGGACTGATGAGTGTTGAAGACCGTTGCGCGGCAAGCCGGGCATATTCAAATATTTCCCGCGCAATTCCAACTGAACCTGCTCCTACCTTCTTAAACACCCCTTCAATTAAAGGCGGAGTTCCGATCTGCGGTCCTCCCTTATTTCAAATAGCCCAAGAGTTTCATATAAATATACAGAGTGGTATATTAGTTATAAATGTATTCCTTCAGTAAAATAAAATGTCAGAAGAAATCTACAACGTCGCAAATTTACGGATCAATTTTATCCGTACATCCAAATTCGAAATAAATTTTTAAAAAAATCAAGATCGGGTGAAAAAATCAAAACATGAGATTCGCCTTTTCGGGATAAATATCGGATCATGGATATGTCATACGTAAAATCCGAGGACGGCAAAAACGTAAGTTTAAATCAAATACGGCATCCGGATTCCGAAAATCGGACCTAAGATTCGGTTTTCCCGTCGAAAATCTGCACCCCCCCCCCCCCANCCCCCCCCCCCCCAAACTGATTTTCGGCGTGATCAGAGTAAATCGAGCCAGGGTTGTAGTTCTGGCCACATATACCGTTTTGGATTTTCGAATTTCCAAAATCTCACCGAAAATTTAGGTTTCCCGTCGAAAAATACCGCTCGATGTCCAATTTTCGACGTGATCGGAGTAAATCGAGCCAAGATAGTGCTTTAGGCAACATCCGCCATTTTGTATTCTCGAATTTCCAAAAAAAATCCCTCGAGAGCTTCCGAACCCAGGATGGTTAAACGCGCGTTATGCGAAGAACTTTCTAAACACCAGTTGCGTGGCGTGAATTGCCATATATCGATTGTTATGCCATTTAAACCTATGAAAAAAGATCGATTATCAGGGTGTTCGCAGCGAACACCTTAGTAATCGATTCTGTACCGTAGCTTCAAATGGCGAGATATCGATAATCGATTATTCACGCCACGCCACTGCTAAACACCCTGTATTTTCTGCGTGTAGGGGGAAGAGGATCAAGGGGTCACAGTTGGATCCTTAAATGCATGGACTTTGTATGATCGAGACGCGTAGACCCGTTACCTACTTCAGAAAAGTGCGGATGCAGCTTACCTATTCAGGGAACATCCGTATTTAATTGCGCGAGAGCGGGAGTAGGGAGGGGGGAAGGGCAAGGAAAAGTTGTTTATCCCTTTTATAAATTCGAATTTGAGTTCGAGTTACCGCTTAGTGGGATTCAGTGGGATCCCGTTATTGCTCGAGGAAAGGAACGGGTGCGACAAACCCTTGACTTGTGCACCACTCTGCATATTTATATGAAACTCTTGGGCTATTTGAAATAAGGGAGGACCGCAGATCGGAACTCCGCCTTTAATTGAAGGGGTGTTTAAGGAGGTAGGAGCAGGTTCAGTTGGAATTGCGCGGGAAATATTTGAATATGCCCGGCTTGCCGCGCATCGGTCTTCAACACTCATCAGTCCGTAGAATCAACGGGCATCGGCCGCTGGAGACCCCCAGCAACACCAGCCGTTATTCGATCTAGTCCTAAGATATTTTTATTTTTTTTTTAAATTTTTTTTTTATTTTTTTTTTTTAATTTTTATTTATTTATTTATTTTTTTCATTTTTTTTATTTTTTCATTTTTATTTTTTTTATTTTTTTTATATTTTTTTATTTTTAATTTTTTTATTTTTTTTATTTTTTACTATTTTTATTTTTTTATTTTTATTTTTATGTTTTTTTATTTTTTTTATTTATTTATTTGTTTTTGTTATTTTTTTATTTTTTTTATTTATTTATTTGTTTTTGTTATTTTTTTATTTTTTTTATTTATTTATTTGTTTTTGTTATTTTGTTATTTTTTTTATTTATTTACTTGTTTTTGTTATTTTTTTATTTTTTTTATTTATTTATTTGTTTTTTTTATTTTTTTTTATTTTTTATTTTTTTTTATTTATTTAGTTGTTTTTTTTTTTTTTTTTTTTTAATTTTTTTTAGGGTTACGGAAGCCGTTCCATAAATTAATGTTTATTTTTATATCGTGGCCACGTGTTTCCTTTTTGCCCACATTGAAAGAATTATTTCATTCCTCCTCCAGTGTAACGATACATTTTTGACGTATGATTATAATTCGTAGAAACATGGTCATGAATTTTTCATTATAAAATGTGGAAAATCACTTCCCTACCCTTCAAGCAGGATCCCGAGCAGCTATTTTGGGCTAAAAAGTTGGATAAGTTCGATTTCGAAGTTGGGCCCAAAGGCGACCGTTGATCATATTCAAGTATGTTACGTGTCTAGGTGTCCTTGACACCATATGCGAAGTTCATCGCCCGTCGCCTTCGGGCCCAGGTCAAAATCTGAGGCAGAACCGCGAAAAATATGGATTTTCAGCTATTTCGAGCTGAAAAGTTGGAAAAGTTCGATTTTGAAGTTGTGCCCATAGGCGACGGTTGATCATATTCAAGTATGTTACGTGTCTAGGTGTCCTTGACTCCACATGCGAAGCTCATCACCCGTCGCCTTTGGGCCCAGGTCAAAATCTGAGGCAGAACCGCGAAAAACATGGATTTTCAGCTATTTCGAGCTGAAAAGTTGGAAAAGTTCGATTTTGAAGTTGGACCCAAAGGCTACGGTTGATCATATTCAAGTATGTTACGTGTCTAGGTGTCCTTGACACCATATTCGAAGCTTATCACCCGTCATCGCCTTTGGGCCCAGGTCGAAATCTGAGGTAGAACCGCGAAAAACGCGGAATTTCAGCTATTTTCGGCTCCGGAGCCATGTTTAGGCCTCTGTCTCGCAGCCAAAAAACGTGAGTATCGGCAAAACTCGATTGCTTCTGTCAAATATGCACCGTCAACTGCCATAAATCAAAAAATATCTCAATTCCGTGGAGGGGCCGATTTCGGCCCAAATCGCAACCCCTCCTTTTTCACAAAATGACGGCCTGACAAAGTTCAACTTGGCAGTTTGGCAACTACAGTGTTCACTGATCGACAGACGTGATATTTGGAGTCCGGAGTTATATATCATTCTCTGGAAATTGTCCATAAGGAAAAGGACTTAAATCACAAAACCCTTCAGCATGCAAGGGCTATCTATCAGATTGGTACTTGTAGGGTAACCTATAACAAACGTGGGTACTGGCACAGCTGATTATGAACTCTCTTCTCGTCCGAATCGTTCAAAATCATTTGTTTTGAAAGGGTCGACAAAGATTTAACAGTTGTTATGGTTTTTCCTTGAGGTCTGGTCAACTTAGTTTCATTGGTTGTATTTGCACTATGATTCTCCAATCTTATATAATCGGTTTGTGGAATGTAGCCAAGTGCTAGAAGTAATGTAACATTTTTTGGAAAACTTACATTCTATTGAAGTAAACATTTTATTTTTATAAAATGTAAGTTTTCCAAAAAATGTCACATAATTTCTAGTATTTGGCTACATTCCACATACCGATATATTTCAGTACTACTAGGTACCTTTTGGACTTTGTGTTAATAATACAATTTTCGCCGAACTTGATCTCATAATATTGAAGGTTCCAGCTTATAGGTTATATTAAGTTTCAGAGAAATTCACCTCTAAAAACTGTCCAATTAATGTTTCGCATATGGATATTTATTGGCGCACTTTAAACTGTGAGACCAATTAGAAAATTGACTATTTAACTCCAATAAGTAGTGTTTTATTAGTGGATGCAGATGGATTCGCATCCAAAATCGGCGTTGGATGCAGAGATTTCTGTATTTTTATTTCTCGCATCCAGTTCCGCATCCACTTTCCAGTTTGTTAATGAGTTTGGTGAAAGGGGTGGTAGTTTGAAAATTGGTTTGACGTAAGATGTAGAAAGCGCATGCGAATCCAAAATCTGGCAGGTCTTGCCAACCCGAGACCCGCTTCCTCCAACATCCACTTGCTGCGTGAGAGGCGCGAATTAAAATTTTCATTGCATTTGAGGGCAAAACTGCAGAAACAGGAACTGTTAATGCAAGACATGCTTGAAATTGGTTTTTCAATGCTGTTTTCATCACCTTCAGAGTTTCTTTATTCACTCATATATTTACATGCGCAATAATTCATGATCTAAAATTAAATTGGACGCATTATAGTAATTGTAACAGGAGGCTGTGAAATCATTAATTTTAATCCTACAAATCAGATATCAAATGCAATTAAAGTAGAGAACTAAACTTATGATGTAATTACCACTGACCACAATCAGTACTTTCGTTGGAAATTTTCCCCGTCGGCTGAAAAGTTGTGTGCTTCAACATTTCAGTTTGCATAGCTACTTTGTTTGTCAAAGATAGAAACGTTGACTGTTGCTGAAACAATGTATTTGAGCCACTAAATTACAATATTAGTCATTTTGCTGAAAAAAAGACAACAGAAATCTATCAAAATTTAGAGTCAAAATCCTGCAAGAAGATTTTGACTCTAAGGGTATGTCATTTTTAAGTTGGTTGAAGTTTCACTGTCTATTTATTTATTTAAACCCAGGGCATTATTACCTTGCCCAAGATTCAGATGCGGTTACTTAATGGTTTGTATCATGCATGGCGTGATGTCTGATGTAGGTACTAATCAGTCAAAGCTGCCTTTGTTGCAAAAATGTGGCATTTCTGGCAAGCTCCTATCCAGAGCAGCTAAAATAACATCTACCGGCAAATAACTGAATGTGTAGGTATTTAACAGGGCAATAATAATTAGCCATCTGATGGAAACTCTAAACGCTACTTAAAGACTAAATAAGGGCAAACTTATGTAGGTAGCTTGCCTATTTTCTTCCTGTCTTGCTCATGGACTCGGAGAGCAGTCGGAAAGAGGGGTGCGAGAAACAGGATTTCAGCGCGTGTCTCTGGGAATGTGGAAATTCAAAATTTGTGAAGCGTCACCAGTTTGTTGAGATTGTCACCGTCCGTTGCCTCAAGAGGATTTAGACGCTTCTGCTTCAGCGATACATTGTTGACCTATCAATATCTGCTTATTTTGATCATATCTTGAAGGAGGAATTCCCATAAGTTTATCCTGATTAGTTATTTGTTTCACTACAATAATGGCGGACATACAATCTTTACGACAGCATGGAGTGAAGGTGCGGTGCTTTATTGGATTAGCACTCCTACACTTTCAATGCCTATATCTGCCTATTGTAAGATCATTAGAAGCTCAATCAACAACATGATGAATTTCTGCGCCTGCCATAATTATTTTTAA